CCAGGATTATCCACTTAAAATGCAAGAAGCAGATACAAAATGATACTTATCAAAATGAACTCCAAGAAAAGGAAATGAGATTGTTTTGTTTTGCCAGTCCTGGGGCTTGAATTCAGGGCCTGAGCACAGTCCCTGAGCTTCTTTTGCTCAAGCCTAGCACCTTACCACAAAGCACCACTTCTGGCTTTTTTTGTTTATGTGGTACTGAGAAATCAAAACCAGGGCTTCATGCATGCTAGGCAAGCACTCTACCACTAAGCCACATTCCCAACCCAAGGTTTTATTTTAAAAATTATTTCTTTTTTCTTGTTTGGTTTATTCCTTTATGTCACTCTTTTTGATTTTTGTACCCTTTGTCTTATATATAAGTTTATCTGATTTGGGGAAGGGAAAGGGAGTCACAGAAATAGTGGGACAAAGGGTGAACCAATTCAACAGTGATACTCACTAGACACAACTTGGAGAGCGTGGAGTGCGGGGGGATGGAAGAAAATGAGGAAGAACACTTCAAAAAGAAATGTACTCATTACCTGAGTACATTAACTGAGGGGTTACCTCTTTCATCACCTTTACAATAAAATTTAAATTAAAAAAGAATAAACATTTAACTCATTTAGTACCTCAAAGAAGTACTTACACTTTGTTCCAATGTGGTTATGTCCTGTTCTGCTTTTGAAAGCTTAAATTTGTACTCACTAATTTGTCTATTAGCATCTCCTAGAACAGAAGATAATAATGAATTAACTTCATCTCCCAGAGATGGAAGTATCAGGCATCAAGCAATAATGTTCTCTGTAATACACAGAGCACATACATGCACAGAGATTCTACAACAGTCCAGATTCTAGACTGCCTATAATGCAAGAAACTATTACTTCCACTGTATCAGTATTCCTAGAAGCAAGAATTAGCAGACAGATCCTCCTTTATCTCTCATACGTGAGCAAGCTCCGAGAAAAGGATCCTTGCCAAGGAAGCAGTTGTCCATGCCTGATCTTTAACTGCAACCCTGTGGCCCAAAATGCCTCTGTATTCTCTGGACTGGGTCTTCTGGTTCTCGGAACCAGCCCTGCAACCTCCACCTATAAAGTTTGTTTCTGCTCTCCCATACCACTAGGGTCCTGTCACCCCACCTCTGATTCAAATCTCAACTTTCAAGACCATGCTCATTTTCATCTCTTTTACCCTCCATAAATGACTAACTTCTCCTTCCATTGTTGCAGAGTGTATAAAAAGTGGAGCTTTGCTTTCTTACTAAATCTGTGTTTATACCTGAGCAAATGCTTTGAAAATAATGTATGCTTTAGTAAACTGAAAACAAATGCTTCCAATAACAGGTTGTAATGTTATGGATAGAGCTGTAAGATAATTTACTTGACCTAAGAAACTACTTAAAGTAGTAAGTTAAGAAATTTGGGGGGAGGTGGGGGATGTGCGCAGGCACTAGGTAAAATTTCATTCTGGGAACACAAATCATCCTCTGAAATGAGTATACTCCTAAGGATTACAAAAGATTTAAGTCTAACCTACTAAGGAAATACTCAACAACCTAACAATAACTTTTCTACATTTCCATATTACCAAGATTGGAATTAGCTATATAACTCAATGTAAAATGTTGTATTATTGGTCAGTTACTGATACTCTGGAAGTAATGGGAGCCAGGATGGTGGTAAACATCTGTAATCCCAGCACTAAAGCGGTTCAAGCAGGAAGATCCTGAGTTCAAGGCTAGCTGGAGCTACAAGGTGGTAATACGTGACCTCCTCCAAGGCTACCTCTGGTAGTGGAAGGAACATTCCAGTCATCAGCCCTAAAACAGCAGCTAGAAGGTCTTGTTTTAAAATTCTTACCTCCAGTAGTCTACTAATTATCAAAATGTATGGCTTCCTTCTTTCTCACTGCTAGTCACTCATTTCTTCCTGTTTTTAAAAGCCCCTTGTCTCAAACCATCTTGTATGAAAAACACCCAAGGCACTATCTACAATCAGGAATGGCTCAGGCCCGTTCCTGGCCTTCTGGTCCAGCAGAGCTATGTATTTTATCTTCACCAGTAGACCCAGCCTTCCCAGTGTTCCTCAGCTCACTTTATTCCATACCTATACTTGTGTACTTTCCCTCACCTACAACGCTGGCTCTAGTAAGAATTCACACACAAATGCCAGCCCATCCCTCTTCTATTTGATTTCTTTTGAATTAGTTCCTTTGAGCCAATCTCTCTAAACTGGGCCCTGCCTTTCTAGGACTGCAGCAGCCATTGTACTATTCCATCATAGCATCCTAACTGGATGATCTTTCTACAACGTTCCTGCAGTCGCAACTCCCCACACCAAAATGACAGATTATCCAACAGGAAACATCGGGAGGCTGCAAGCTGACACCCAAAAAGGAAGTAATGCTGCCCTCAAAAATTAGGACTAGGGCTGGGAAGGTGGCTTGTGGTAGAGTGCTTGCCTAGCATGCATAAAACTCTGGATTCAATTCCTCAGTACCACATAAACAGAAAAGGCTGGAAGTGGTGCCGTGGCTCAAGTCTGATAGAGTGCTAACCTTGAGCACAGAAAAGCTCAAGCCCCAGTACTGGAAAAAAAAAAAGACTAGCTGGATACCCGTAACCCTAGCTACTTAAAAGGCTGAAATTGAGAGGATCATGATTTGAGACCACCAAAAAATGCAGGGTATGGTGGCATGAATCTGTCACCTCATCTATGGCAGGAAGCATGGGCTGTAGTGTCCGCCCCAAGCAAAAAGACCCTAACCAATAAAAGAGCCAAGTGGTAGAATGAGTACCTGCCTGGCAAGGCCCTGGGTTCATACCTCAGTACTACCCAAAATAAGTCAGTAATAATATCCCTTAATTCATAAAGGCCTACAAAATTTGGCCTAAATGAAAAGACCATAAATAGGAATTATCTGGAAATTTTTTTATGTAGGCACTTAAAAATAATCAGGAGCCAAAAGTAGAAAAGGAAAGGAAAAAAAAACCTATTTGTATAAACTTGAGAATACTAGACTATTTTGTGGCTGTGTATCTAAATTCCATCTGTAATGCAGGCTGGGTCCTCCTGCTTAAGCCTCTAGAATGCTGGGGTTGCAAATGTTTACTACCATGCTTAAGTTCCAGAGTATCGGTAACTGACCAACAAAACTTTACATTGAGGTTATACAGATAGTTCTAATCGTGGTTATGTGGAAAGAATCAGGTTTATGTTACAAACTTCTAGGAAAATTCTGAAGCTACTCAACATTGTGTTAGTCTCAAATCTCAATTATCCAAGATAAACTGCACATAAATGGTAGCTCAAAGATGACATGCAGGTATAGAAAAGGACAGTGTCCAGGAAAGAAAAATAACTTACCCTTTTACATTCAAATAGAGAAGAGCCTCTATTTGACTCTTGTATTCGTCTGTACCAACCATTGTAAACAGAATTTTTGCAGAGATAAGCATACTATGAAAGCAGATTACTCATAATCCTGCCCCAAAGACAAGGCTTACATACTAACAGAGACTGATATCCCCTGGTACCTACTCTGCATCTCGATAAACTGCAAGTCTGAGCCATTCTGCAGTCCTACCAAGTCACCAGCTATGCCATCATTCCTGGAGCATTTTTGCCGTTCTTCCTCTAACTGTAGCTTCAGTTTTCTAATCTGAGATGGAAATAAAAGGCGCCAGTCAGATCAGTCTCTTAATATCCCAGTGGCCACACTGTAGAACACTGTATCAACAGATCATACAGATTATTCATATTAGAACTATTTTCTCCTGGTCTCAAGAAGATAGAGTAGATACCCACCACATTGCTGTATTTCCATGGACCAGAAATAAAACTTAAGGTATATAGCTACAAGGAAAAGTGAGCAGTTTAGTAAACCAAGTGAGGGCACCAGTAAAAGAATAGACAGCTAGTAAATAAAGGAAATTAAGAAATGTATTCATCACCTGTATTATGTAACTGTAACCCCTCTGTACTTCACCTTTATAATAATTTTTTAAATGAAAAAAAAAAAAGAAACTGCAGATCTACTTTAAAAAAAGAAAACAGCCGGGCGTGGCTCACGCCTGTAATCCTAGCTACTCAGGAGGCTGAGATCTGTGGATCGTGGTTCAAAGCCAGCCCGGGCAGGAGAGACCGTGAGACTCCTATCTCCAATAAACCACCAGAAAACTGGAAGTGGCGCTGTAGCTCAAG